TTTTACCCAGCACAGCTCTGGAGGACCTGCCCCTGCACAGTGTGTGGGTCTGTGTGTACCCTGACTGGGTGTCGTACCTGGCTAATAGAGGGACCTGTGTGTACACATGCTCTGGGGACTGGGCGACTGCTCAGAGCAGGCCTGGGTGAGGGGCTCAGAGATGAGGGTGGGGCATATGGCCTGGGGAGGAGATGGGGAAGCTTTTCCTGAGCCATCCGTGGGAGGAAGTCTGTGTGGCACTGTCTCCTGGGGTAGCAGGAGCAGTCTGAAGCAGCAGGCACTCACCAGGTTCCTGGTTCCTGGAGACGGAGCCCAGGATGTGTCTGGAATCTTGGAGAATCCAAGGGGAACACGGGTGGAGCAGAGGGGTGCCTTCTCCCCCTCCTTCTTCCTTCTCTGCCCCTGAGGGCACTGCTGGGCTGTCCTACCTATACCTGGGGGTGTGTCACAGGTGGATTCTTTCCTGTCCTGCATGGAGAGGGCCTGAGAGGCTCCCAAGGACATCAGGCCTCTATGAGCTGGGGGTCTGTGGCCCTGAAACATCTGGTACTTTGAAGGAAAGTGCTCACCTGTCCATGCCCAGCCGCCCACCTGTCACTCCCGTTGTTCCACCCTAATGCACACTCTCCTCCTCGTCTGCTGTGCAGGTTACCTGCGCATGTCGCACACACCTGCCCTGCCCACTGGTTACATGACTCTCCCACAACCTCTACCTGCCTGAAGTTACGTGCCACACACCTGTCACAGGCACCTGCATGACACGGCTGGATCACCACTGCTGGGCTGTCCTACCTATACCTGGGGGTGTGTCACAGGTGGATTCTTTCCTGTCCTGCATGGAGAGGGCCTGAGAGGCTCCCAAGGACATCAGGCCTCTATGAGCTGGGGGACTGTGGCCTGAAACATCTGGTACTTTAAAGGAAAGTGCTCACCTGTCCGTGCCCAGCCGCCCACCTGTTGCTCCCGTTGTTCCACCCTAATGCACACTCTCCTCGTCTGCTGTGCAGGTTACCCGCGCATGTCGCACACACCTGCCCTGCCCACTGGTTACATGACTCTCCCACAACCTCTACCTGCCTGAAGTTACGTGCCACACACCTGTCACAGGCACCTGCATGACACGGCTGGCTCACTCCTGTGTGACAATGCCGGGCCATCAGTGCCTTGTCCACTGTCAGCCTTGCAGACACTGAGGGTGTGGTTCAAGGCCATGGAGATGCATTTCACCAGGCCTGATGTTTACTTGCCCTCTTTCAGTCCCAAAGTGTTCTGGAAACTCCATCTTCCACCTGAGCCAGTGGCACTAACAAGGATTGCCAGGTCTCTTCAGCTGGGCTGGCAATGGCCTGGTGTTGCTGTATTCCTGAGCTGTGGGGATCTCAGCCAGGACCTGCTGTCTTTGCAGCCAGATAAGAGCTTTGAGTCTGCCTGTCCCTGAACTGCCCCTTCCCATGGCCCTGCCCAGCTGGGCTCAGCTCTCTCCATCTATCCCCCAAGAACTTGCTCAACTCTGACCCTGAGGACAAGGGACTCACTGACCCCAGGGAGAGGGGCTCCCTCCAACCTGAGAGACAGCTTTCATGGGGATGGAAGGAGTCTCACCGCAGAGAGGAGTGTCTTTAGAGAGGCACAGAGGCTCTGTCTGCGATGGAGGAGATCGAACTGACCAGGTCTGTGCCACGTGGAGGGGGAGGCATCGAGGTGCTGCTGGCTCTGTGGTGGTGTGCGGTTCAGGGGCCACTCAGGTGAGGGGTCCGGGCATCCTTAAGGGAAGACCACAGGAACCTTGGATGGGGATTGGGGGTCTCACTGTTAGGGGTCAGTGGGGACAGATTACATTTAGCTGTCATGTGAACCCTCCCTCCCTTCTTCCTTTCCTCTTTCCTTCTTTTTCTTTCTTCTATTTAAAAAAAAATGTATTTAAAAACTTCATTATACTCTGTCTGGTTGGAGAAAAATAATTCCTTAGCTTTCGGCCTGAGCGTCTGGGTGGACGTATCACTGTTTCCCTGGAGGGGAAAGGCACGGCAGAACAGGTTTGTGTGCGAGTGTAAATCGAAAACTCCGTTTTGACATATGGAGGTGTCTGTCACATGGAGCACACGTATAGTTGGTTGTATAAGTTTGGAGTTCAGGGCAGGAGTCAGGGTTGGAGATAACATTTTGGAGCCATCTGTTCATAGAGCTATTCGAAGTCACAGGTGCGATCACATGGAAGGAGGGTGAGACAGAAAAGAGAAAGGGCCCAAGCTGGAGCCCTGAGGTGCTCCCGCATTTATGCCTCGGCGCTGGGGGTAGAGCAGGGGCAGCCGGTGAGGTGCTGCTGGCGTAAGCATCAGAGAAGCCTGGGTGAAATAGGCTGCAACAGAGTTTGGGAAACCGGAGACGACCAGTGAACTTGAATAAGCTGTTTTAGTGCAGCAGTGGGGGGAAAAGCCCACTGAGATGAGGGGAAGGAAGAGAAAGCAAAGAGCAGCCAACCTTTTCAGGTGTTTTGAGAAGAGGTGCAGCAGCCGAAGGGGGCTTGAGTGCGGGGAGTTCTTTCAGAATATAAGAGCATGTACACCCCATGTGGGCATTCCCGGGGTCGTTTCCTACCCCCAGGCCCCACTCTTCATGGGGATGGGGTCTGTGCCTGCAGTGGTCACAGCCCCTTGCCCAGCATCTGGCTCCCAAGGTGCTGGTGAACATCAGTTAAGTGAATGGCTCAGAACACTGACAGGTGCTCACAAATGTGACTTAGTGTTGGCTGGCGGACCGAGAAGTAGCTGAAGACCGAGCAATGGCAGTTCTGGAAGCATTGCTCCAGAGCTAACATGAGGCCATGGTGTCCCTCAGTCGATGGACTGGGATGGTGGCTCTGGGTCCCAAGAAGAGGTGGGGTTAAATGCTCAGCAGCAGCAGTGTGCAGACCAGCTTCGTGTGCCAGCACTGCAGCCAGCTCCCACACTGGACTGAGTCCCCTCTAAGAGCTCACAGCTTGGCCCAGCCCAGGGGAGACCAGGAGGAAGAGGCTAACTCAGGAGGGAGCCACTTATTGAACCTAGCATGGATGGTGTCTATACAAAGTGCCATAGCTTGACTCTGATGGGGAGGCAACATGGAGAAG